TGTTGAATTGAGCTTTAAGAGCTCAGAATGAAATAAGTATGGATGGTCAATTCAGTCCAAAATTCCAAATAATGTGTATATTTCATTTTCACTACCGATAATGGAAGATGTATTGAACTAAAGGTTTGTGCAAAAGAACCTTCAGAGATACATGCAAGAATTAAATGAATGGGAAGTCAAATTCCATTAAATTAAATTAATATGTGCCATATTCCTTCAGATGCCACTTCATTACTTTATTTGCCTCCTAAAATGTTTTTGAGCATTTTAAATGTTGCATTGAGTAAACCCTATAGGATGTACACAACCCATACACTATCAAACCACACACAGATGCACACCCACTCTCCCCAGCCTCAAATTACATTAACTCAGTATGTTACTAATTCCTCTTTTTCATTTTTACATTGCAGCTCTCACTGACACCCTCCATTTTAGCTTAGCATCACAATGGCCGCAGAAACAAAGACACAGAGGAAATGAGACCCTGAAAAGGAGGTAAAAAAGGCAGAAAAATGCCCCCCTTTTCTAACACACTCACACACACACATCTTACTAATCAGCCCTATTATATTAGCACAACAATGGTCGCCCATCCCCTGGCCACCCAAGATGATAGCACAGAGGATCATGTGTTGGTTCTTTTGTTCTCTTCCTACTCTTTTTTTTTCTTCTTTATTTAAAAGAGCCGGTTTGTCCTGATTTTTACCACCTAGATTGAGCTGTCTGTTGTTTGAGATGTCAGCTGTTATCTCACCCACACATCGCTTGCTATTTAAGAGGGGATAAGGTCTCTCAGCTAGTGCCAGCTGCTTTTTGTTCCTAACTGCTGCTGTCTTTAGTCCATCAAGCCACCACCCCCTTCTACCAGATCTCCATTCTCCCTTGTTCTTTCTCTGTTCCCTCTCTGTTCATGCGTCTGTCTTAATCTCTGTTGATCAAGTTTACAGAAATCAATGGGATGAAATAAAAATGCTCTCATTGCATGGACCTCCCATTTTGCTACACAAAAGTACCACTCTGATTCTGGGCACACAACACAGGATTCTGCAGCAAGAGAACAAGGTGTGTAAATAAGCAGTGCCGATTCTGTCACAGCCAACAAATCTATTTCCTAGTTTCCTTAGGTCAGAGAAGACATTATATAGGTGCAGTATGAAGTATTTGTGTCAATTCTGGGCATATTATATCACAATAACACTAACAGCATCTTAGACCCAACAACCATAGGTCCTTTACAAAACATTTTTAAAATGTAAACATTCATTCACATTCCTTTTAGAGAAGAAAATGTTTAGAAGAACAAATGCAGTTTATTGTTCTTGATATTCTCAAAAGATCGATCACAAATTATTTTCTTTCTTAGAATAATGATTCTGTTTATTGGGAAATTATATCAGCAAACCTTGGATATGTTACTATTTTATCTCCTTGTATTATTATATGATGTTCTATTTTGTAATGCCATTTACTGCATGACAGCCAATGCATAAATTGTAGTACTGTGTCCCATCTAAATGTTGGTTATAAAATATGAGAATGAAAGGATGTTGGCGAATTATAAAAGGTTTGTTCTTGGAATTATTATTGGCACTAGAACTTAAAACTGCCAACTATTTAGTCAATATCTATGGAATTATTCTAATAGTTCCACTATTAGATTTGATCATGTTTATAGTGCATATATTGCATTAGTGTTGAAGGAGCTGCTAAGAATGTATTCTTTAGAAAGCAAAAAAATCGTGCATTTTCCTGGTTAATCCATTCCTTATTTTTAAGAAAGCTAACAAATTCTTGAGATGATTCCAAAGACGATAGAGACAATTTTGACATTTTTTTTCATCAGTGCATATAAATATTCTGATATTCTGAAAAAAGGCTCCATAATTGTCTTCAGTCACACGACTTTCATTACAGGACTTCATTGTAACATCTGAAACATTCCTAGAGCTATGCTCTGTATGTATATACTGTAACTGGATCACAAATACATTGTAAACTTGCAGACAACAAACATGACCCTTTAAAGTAAGGCTTTCTCTATAGGCTATAATTGGCTGTTTGTTAGTGCTGGGGCAGGTCCACATCCTTCACTCAGCAGGGGCATGGGAGGTTTACATGAAAAATCCCTTTAATCCACTGACACTGCAGTCTGTGCAGACAAAATGCAGAGAGTGCTTTTTTTGAAATTCTTATACTTTATTCAATAAATGTAGTAAAGAAAAGCCCTGAAACATACCATGGTAATGCACTGACCTATACACTGTGGTGGTGTAACTGTATTAACAGATATTCAAATGAAGGAAAGTACTTCTTGTAACTTTGTAAGCTTTCATAATGTTTTTTACATTTAAAAAAGTGCTGGTAATGTAAGATTGTAAGAACATAGGCAAGGTTACCCATCGTTTGATTCCTAATAGATAATTAATCCCAGATTTTCATTCAGCCTGATCAAGGGTCCCAGAGAGTCAGCTTGGTAATCAGTTCCAGACACCCACTACTCTTGGTGCAGAAATGTCAATTCATTTTGATTGAATTTGTTCAATTCATTTTTTTATAATGATATATATGCACTACTTCAGTGCCCTTTCTTTTTGGTCCCCCATTACTAGAGTTGTATTTAAGTACAATTTTACTCGTCTATTGCTGAGTTTCCAAAACCAGTGCACACTATCTAGAGCACAGACTTTCAGACCTGGTCTTGCAGAAACACTGGGACATCTAGTTCCCAGTTTACGTGAACTCTTAATGATTCATTCACATTAATTATGTATTTAATTAGCCTAAATTGTCACTCTGTTTAAAGTTTGTAGCTAGAGAGCATTTTAAGTTACAGAAGAGTTTTCCAGGACTATAGAAGTGATTAGAAGCTAATCCAACAGCTCTTCATGCTTCAGAAGATCCTCTTTGTGTCTTATCTTGATGTCACATTATTGATGGAAAATGTTCTTAAAGGGAAGGGTCTATCTCATTAAATAAGCTTCCTAAATGTACATAGTTCGTAGTGATATTTTAAATGGCCACAAGCCTCTTTAGATCACAGTATGAGGGATTTCTGTAGACGGATGTTTGGAGCTGGTGTTTTGTTGATAATATATTGTAATCAGAGCCGTTTTTGAGCTGAATCCCACCATGATATTGAAGAAATGCCAAAATAACTTGATTTTTATTACCAGACCCTGTTGTGGCATTTTCCTATACTAATTTTTGAATGAACGATGAGCAGGATAAACTCTGACACCCTTTAAGAAATCTATTATTTTTCACCCTGCCTTAACTAGCTAAAGCCTTTTCCATATCTCAGGAAAATAAAGTTTTTGCCTGGTGAAAACCACAAGACTAATATATTTGTAATGCGTGTAAACTTGCACATTTTTACTGTAATTAGTATAAAAACTATTTGCACATCACACTATAGGGTCTGAATCTGTTTCTTATGAATCTGTTTCTGCAATCAGTCAGGTGATGTAAAAGAGAACTATTTTCATGTTCTGTACTCAGGACACAGGAATACTAGGAGATGGGAAGTGTCAGATACAAATGAGACCAAGACCAATTCTTCATCTTAGCAGGTGGGCCCTCTACACAGAAATGGTGGCTGTAAATTTCATGTAAATTCTCTCTGTGTAAACTAATTCCCAACAATCTGATAAAAATGGCTACAGGGAGACATTGGGTAGTCAAGAGTTTCACACTTGTACACACACAACACTGATGCCTTCTTGTTGTCAGTTCTAATAATGTAATCAACTGTTTGCAATTACTCGAACCAACCATGTCCCTGTAAAATTACTCAAATCTATTCATGTTAACCCTTTTCTAAGTTAATACACATAAGTATTGTTTTATTGTATCAATGCTAAAAATGAAGAACACACTGAATTCATGAACAGGAACATGCCAGTTCTAATTAATCTGTAAATGTGTTATTTTATACTATAAACAGAGCTGTAGCAACCTGCTTGCTTATGGATTTTCAAAGCAATTTTTCCAAGCTATTAATTTTTGGTTTTATAAAACCACATATTCGAAAAGCTATGATTGAAATGTATATTACAGGCTTACCTAAGGAAAGCTATTGTGCTTAATGAACTTTGATTAAAATATTCAAGATAAGATCGTTTTGGCCATTGATCTGAGGGAAACCTTTTGAATGTAATTGAAATTGTTTTCAAAAGCAGTAAGAGGTTAGGATGTCAGTATGAGAATCTGTATGTATTTAATCTGAGTTATTTGTATTTCTGAGACAGAAGGTTTCCTGTTAGGAAATTGAATGGAATGATCTTGTTCTTACACAATAGTAATTTAGAAAAAAAACCCTGTAAAAACAGCTTTGCGTTTCTTTGCTACGTTATAGTTATGCAGGACAATCTGTTCAAATCAGATGGTGTGTGTTATTATTCCAAAAGAGCGTAGAAATAAATCACGATAAATTTCTTTTTTTCATTTGATTTATTTTGTTAGTTCAGCTCCTATAAAGGGTGCAGGAAAATGATGGTAACAGTCTTTCTTATCAGTTTCTGGAGTCACAGTGTTTTAGACTTTGTCCAACAAAAAAAAACAACAACAACAACACTTCAAACATTTACATGAAGGAAGACGAGCAAAAGGGAACCAATGAGGTGAGCAGAACCTGCTCCACCAACTCCTTCATTTCCCAGGTGTTCAGTTACCTCAGCAAAGAGTCATCAGCTCAAAGGTCAACATCCGAATTCCCCAATCCCACCCCAAACCCCCAAGAAACACAAAAAACTCAGCAACAAATACATATATATATAATTATATATAATATATATTTACTCTTTAAAAATAAAACTTCAGTCTGATGGCTAACATCTGTACAAACTACAAAAATAAAAATTTATATAAATAATTTATATGGCATAACAAACAAACAAAATTGAAATAAAACTACAACCTGATGCGCCCCCCCCCTACCACCCATCCTCCTACCATTAAATATGTGATATTAAGCAGTGAATATACGATGTCTTGTTCTGTTTTTCCAGGTTCTACAGTAGCTACGGTTTTAGAGAATGCTCCATTTAAAGATTGACATTTGTACAAAAAATGACATTTGTACAAAAAATCTGTACAAAACAGAAGCTGCCATTTAAATTCTAAAATTTTCCCTGCATTTAAACTGGCAGTGATGTGGCCAATACTGAAGGATTGGCCTTTTTGTCAAGACACTAAAAGACAAAGATACAATGAAAAAAACGCCATAGCATGTGTCCTATGCTGTATACTGAGAGGAAGAGCACCCTTTCATTGTAGAATAAGACCCTCTTAGTGACATTACAAGTTGTCCTACCAATGACCTTACATAAAGGCATACATAATGGTACAAAGCAGCCAACAAGTGTTAAAAAAAAGAATACTCCCTTTCAGATTTAAAATTCCCTTTGAAAATAACAAGGCATAAAGGTTTCATTTGCAAACATGAAAAGCTTTTTAAAAGCAAAGACAAGAAGATGACAACTTACAACTTTACTGAGCATACAGCTTACATATTGTTTGAAAAAAAAAGGTATTGATCTCACAGCTTTCTTCAAGTAACAACATAAAAACTGTGGCGGAATGAGCAACAACAAACATAATCTTGAAAGGGCAATTCGTCACAATGGCACTGAATGGATCGATATGTCTCCTGAATTGCACGGATGTTTGTAAAAAAGAGAAATCTGATTATGAAGATTTTGTTTTCAAATTGCAACTGATGAAAGAAAAGAAAACATTTCCAGGCCTTTCAAAAGCTGCACGGCAATGACCACGCCAAAACGCACTCAGAGAAAGGCGTAATTAAATCCACTTTCTTTCTACATAAATAAAAAAAAAAATCTACAAACAAAATATGCTCTGATCTGTGATATATAAAAGGACCAGCAAATAATGTTTAACTTTGTATTCCTGCTGGTTTGCATTTTTACAGTGCAAGTATAATTCGCTAGGAGTTTTAAGGAGAACAAAAAATGAAATTACATGGCATTTGTCTTTAAAACCTGACAGGTTGCTGTATCAAAACATGTAGCTAATTGTGGTGTTTTATTAAGGAGCTTATGTTGAGGGAAGGAGGTTACTGCATATTTTCAAGGCAGATAATTTCAGAGTAGCAGCAAACAAAAAAAAACACTGACCTTTTTTTTCTCTCAATAAACTATCATTACACCAATTCACTTTTCTTATTTTTGTACATAAAATACATTTCTTTATCTATACAAAGAACAGTCCTATCCTCTTATACTTTATCTTTTACATAATAGAATACACAAGTTATACAGTACTCTTTTAAATAGCTTTTCCCTCTTTTTAGTATTAAAATATATATTTTATATATTCATAAAACAAGAACTTTTTAATAGTTTAAAATAAATTCTCTTGTCTGGGTGAGGTCTATTTACAGTTAATAGAGCAGAACTGGGGAACAGAATGTCCCACACAGTCAGAGGTGACGTCCTGGCAGAAAGGCCTAGTTGTCTTCAGAAGCCTGTTTACGTCGGCCACCTGGAAAATACCAAGAAAAAAAACAAATTAAAGTAAACACAATTAACATTAGTAAAGACCAAGCAGCCATTGTTATCAATAAATGCATTTCCTCAAATGCCTATTTCTGTGTTATTATTATTTTGTCTATACTTCTACCTGGTTAATGTAAAACATTTTGCACTAGAGAAATATGACATTTATCATGTCCTTTTACTACTGTAAGATACTCCACTCTCAGTAGTCTTCCTCCATTAGATAATTACAAAAGTCCATTTAAAACTGACCAAATCAAATGATGTGTTAGGAGTAGTTCTAAATGCGCACAAACTTGTATGTAACAAAGGAGACACTTTTTTTTTTTACTGAGGTGCAGAGTGCAGGCGAAAACCTAATTCATATATGCTTTATTGCTGTTACATGAACTGGTATTACAAAAGTAATATTGAGTATATTCAGTAGTCCTTTGTATGGAGCTGCCCATCATGTGATACATGCTAGTGTATCATTCCTGCATAACACATGCCTTACAAGAGTCACCTATTCCAAAGCGTAACCCTTTTTTTTAAAAAAAAAAAAGCTTACTGACCTAGTGTGTACTACTTTCTTCACATTCCAGGTCCTGAAGCTCCAAAGTGTCAGTCTTGGAAGATTCTGTAGTTTTCCCACAAGTCACATGAGATGTTTTTTGGGTCTCCTCAAAGCAGTCCAACTCACTATCTTCAAAGCCCTCATGTGTGTACCCCCTGTATGACCCAGGTAAGCTGGGGTGCACAGCAACAGTCACTGAAGCAGTGGCGGTAACCATAGTAACTGCGTTGCTAGGTCCCTGTACTCTGGTTCCTGCATTGTACATAGGGACTGTAGTCCTGTTATGATGGGTCCTGCTTCTGTACTGAGATCTGGGGCCACAGTAATTAGTCCTTCCTGGCCCCTGTGGTCTGTCACTGGGCAAATGTTGCCTCTTAGGTCCATGATCCTGATGAAAGTACTGCTTCTGATCCTGCTTTGCTATCTGAGAGCTGACAGAGGTGACAGAAGGTTGCCCATTGAGCTGGTCCTTCCTGCTGGTAATGTCCTGGTTTTCATTATATGGTTTTACCACCTGAAAAAGACAAGATGAAAAAAAATGAATCCTTGCCAGAACCAAAGATGAATTTAACCTATTTTTTCTCTGTGGAAAAGAGTCAGCGTGTAACTACTGTAAGATCACAATCTTCTTCAAGTTTCTTTACCAAAAGCTGGGGCAATTTTGGAGCTTACGAACTAAACATAAACGCCAAGGCGATTATTAATCTGCAGTCTTCAAACTGACAGAAGGAAGATATGCTATGAAAAGATCGAGTCTATGACTTCTTTTTCATAAGCCTTGTGATGTATAATGAGCTCGGATGAGGCTAAGGTAGGGCACTGAAAAGGCAGAAGAAAGAGCTTGGCTCACCGTGAGTTTGGGGAAGCTGGGGCTCTTGCTGGCTTCCAGGAGGATGTGAGAGGCAGGTGCTGGGGGGATGATGTAGGCACTGCGATCACAGTATTGATACTCCTCCTCCCCCAGGCCTGACGTGGTGGTGGTCTCTGAGTAGTATTCAGAATCCGATGACTCGGAGAAGGCATTGTAGGGCTGTCCAGGTGGGTAGCGTCCTGAGTAAAAGCCGTGGTGATTCATGGGAGGAGGAATGGGCTCTGGGGATGGTGTGGGCAAACGGGTGCCATTGTCTGCTGGTGTCACCTCAGGAGGAGGCCCGATTATGGATAGCAGGACCGGCAGCAGGACCAGTCCATTCAGAACTCCCAGTACAGTTAAGATGGCCAGGACAGCAAAGAAATATCTGCAACCCCGAAAAAAAGAACATTTTAGTAAATCCCTTCCAGATAGATTCTTTAGCAAATTTACCATAACAGTTTCCTATTTGGAGAGATCTTAGTTTGACTTAAATCATAAGAGTTCAATTCATTTTTTTTTTCTTTTCTCCCCTCTGTTTTCCTTTCCTCGCATCCTCTCACTGGCTCCCTGACAAGCAGGAGAAATTCCTCGGCTCAAAATCCACAGCTTTTAGTTTCCCTTGGGGGTGCCCTCATCTATCACTGCAGGACTGCCACTTCCTGAAAATATGTGTTTACATTAATGTGCAGATTCTACAGGCCATGAGTATTCAGCCCTCCTTTGTCTGCCTTAACCACAGTTCATGAAAAATCATAACACCTTCCTCTTCTTGGCAGCTGTTATTGCAAGGTAACCTTCAAGAACTCACTTTCTACACTCCATGACATGAGTGCTACACATAGAATGCATTTGTGCTTACAGCTCCAGTCTCTATCATCAGCACAAATGGGCACAAGCCATAGTTCCTTGGCATAGGTCTAATCAGTTTTAACAATCACATTTTTACTAGTACAATGCAGGGCCAGTTGTTGTATATCTGGCTATATCTTGTTATTATAAGTGTATGCCTTGTGAATAATGGTTTTCCAGCGCAGTAGCAGTAACAGGGTGTCCTGTGTCGCCTAGTGAGGTTCTGCATTTTCAGCTGTTTACATAAATCCCATCCCTGGGGGTTTCAACTGACTTGCTCACCCATTAGGCCTTGATTGTTTATCTTCTAGTACAGGGGCGCTGACAATAATCTTGCTCACAGCTCTGGCATTAATAATCTATTGGATAATAGGCTGCAATATTAAGGCCTGTTCCTTGCCAGGAAATGGATCTGGTCAGTAATGGAACTGGTTTAAGTGTTTATACCCAAGTGGTAAAACACTGGAGAAGCACCTCCACAACCAAGCTGCTATTATTTAAGATTTAGCAAGGCGCCAGAGAATCATTAATCCAGCGGGGCATAGAAAAAGCAGTTGCTTGAGAGGCCACTTAAAGTTCAGTCCTTCAAATGAGCAAATAGTGAATGGGAGCAAAACTAGCCAGGGGCTGAAAACTCCACTTTGTCACAATGTAATGAGAGAGAGTAAAGAAAGGAGAAAATGAGAGGAATCAGATTTTAAAGCTTTAAAAAAAAAAAACAAAGGCAAACAATTTCATGATAGTGATGCATGACGCTAAAAATCAATTTAGTATGAAACAGTCCAAAAATACTACAATGAATGAAAGGGATTGAAATAAATTACGTTACTCAATTGTGTAGATAAGAAAAAGTATATTTCAAATCTGACAAAGCACTGTTGTTTTTCTATATAGACTTTAATCGTTGAATTAACTATTATGTTCCTATAACCTACATTGATTACTCTATTTGCGCAGTGTCTACCATAATTGACTTTGTAGGACTGTAATTTAGTCTGTTTTTATCCTTCTGTGGATAGAAGCTGGAAGTGGGTTTATGTCACCACAAAAAAGATGGTGGATGTGGAAATTAGAGAGGGCTCATTCTGAAAACTTAGATGAAAGAGCAAAGTACCACCCACTGTCTGAGCTTGTGGTTCAAACTCTTGGAGGTAAGAGCAGACTTGCAAAGAAAGAAAAACAAAGAGAAAATAATGAATCCTGAAAACACGTGTCATCATTTTCACCAGACTACGGTCCCCATTCCAAAACCTAAATGTCACACTCCAATACCAGTGCAGATGTAAAGAGTAAGAAAACATATTGTTCACATTTGGTTCTAAAAGTTCCCTCTCCCAGAATAACCAAAACTACCTCCTATATGCTTGTCTGATTTTGTCTTCTCAGATAGTGAGGTTTCCTGATGTCTAAAAATAAAAAAAACAGACACTCCTCCATACAAAACTAAGACCTAGAGATAGGCTTCTCTTCATGGATTTTCACAAAATGCAGTTAATATGTATTATTGTAATCTAATTTTCTCTGCCAGCATTCCGGGTCTTTGTCTGAGCCACAGCCCATCTTACTCAATACTAAATGGGATCTTGTGCAATTCAAATTCATTCATTTAAAATTACAGAAATCACTTAAAAGAAATACATTCCCTCAAAGCGTGTATACGCTCATTTCAAAAGACACACAGCACAGGGAGAACATAAAGATTTCGACAATTTTATATTTTACTGATCCAGCACTATCAGATCCACACAATCTGAGCACAATAAAGCAATACGTCACAGGAAGCCATTTCCTAAATTAGAGTTAACATTTTAAAATGTAATTTAAAAGGCTTAGAAATTCCACTTTGTTATAAACCCCTGCCCACCTTTCAGAGCTGTTACATAGCTAGCCTAGACAGGCCCTCCTATTTATGTAAACAAAAAGGGCTAAGGTAAGCTGTTAAGGTCTTAGCAAAATTTGCCTATGAAGGCTGCAGTCTCACAGACTGTACTGCTGTGAAGTACTGTACTGGATCTTTTCCTCTTCCTCTCCACCCTTTTCACTTCGCCTCATTAACAAAACTATATGGACCCAGACTCTGTCACACACAGTTTTCTAACATTTCAGTTCTCATTCACTGTTTGGGCTATTAAACAAGTCAGTCCCTCAACATCACAGTACTTGGCATGCTGAAAGGGCACCAATGTGGACCAGTGGGTAAGGGGTCTGGATCTGTAACTAGAAGGTTATGGGTTCAAAGCCCAGCTGGTGTTGGACCCTCGAGCACAATACTTCACAACTTCGAGCTTGGACCTTCGAGCACAACTTGCTCCCCCAAAAAACAACAGTAGTACAGGGCTGCCCTCAGGTTACTAATGAATCGTGTAGCTTTTTAAAAAAATAACCCAGATATCACTTCAATTGAATTGCCCTCCTAATGGATTAGACCAGAAAAATGCCAAATCTTTATGAATCCAACCCTGAAGCATTTTAAATGATAAAAACGAGTGAGTGAAAAGGAAAAAAGATAAAACAGCCACCTTAAAACTGCCATCATCCACTTCCTTTTATTTATATAGAGAGGCCCTTATTCTGTAGCTATCCAGCGTGTGTAAAAAAAAAATCATCTTGTTTATTTTACTAAGTCAACATTCCGAAAATGGAGCGTGATTTATTTAAGCGGGAAAAAAAAACCTAAACTATCCGTGGGCCTCGGTTGGGCCAGACCTCCAAAGGAGGCCGAGTGTTAGGAATTCTGTTGTTTATATGAACTGTAATCTTTTCCATTCGGAGTTGGAGGTGGGAAGGGGGGTTTACTCGGAGTGGAGCTGCTGAGCTTATTCAGCTGTTTATTCTATGTGCCACCGAGAGGAAATGTTTACAACAACGTATTTATGCTATTCCCCTGCTAGCAGGACGTTTTTCTCTGTATCTAAACAGGACCTCCCAGAATGAATACACTGGCTTATGGTGCCATTGCCAACCCCACCACCACCAAACCACCCCCTTCTTTTTAGCTCCCCAAGCTTGCCTTTCTCCTTCTCTTTCTGTTTTGTGTTCCCTTCCTGGCAAAAAAAAAAAGACTTATCACTTCACCATCTAACCCAAGTCAATCACTTGGAGAATGCCTGAGAAATGTGCCAAGAAGCCACCCTCACTGTATTTATTTTTTAAGCCCTGTTCTCCAAGTAAGCACTTTTATGTGACAGGATTGTTTGAGGTTGCTCTCAAGGTTGTGGTCTGTCTCCGTTGAGCTCATTTCATCTTAAAAAATGTTTCTATTTGCTTTTTTTGTACTTTTTCCTAGGAGGCATTTTTGTGGTGAAGAACTGCATGAGACATAGTATACTATTGGTTTAAACAGAGTTGACCAGTTCAAACCAAAGATGGGGTGGTGTCTTCGGCTTCCCCCCCTCTTTTCTGCGGCTTTTATCTTGGGTTTAAAACTCACGGAGAGCTGGAGGGTGTGGTGGCGACAGCAGTTCTGGTGTGTGAACGTGACTCACTGCCCAGTGGGTAGTACACTTGTGTGTTTACGGGCAGCTGCTACACACCACTAATGTTTTCTCCATTTGTTGTGTACTACGGAGCAGAGTGACAGAGACAGGTGGAAGAGGGGGATAATACACCCAACACATTCCCACCTGCAGCTACAGCCTGTTAACGAACTCCCCCTTGTTCCCCAGTGAAGACGACAACTGCTAATATTTTGCGGAACATGACAAACAAAAAAAAAAGGGGGGGCAGGATTTTAATAACTGTTCGCTTTAAAACAAGCCTTACCTCATGATGAAATCAAATTCAGAGCCTGCTAGCATAAGCACTCCCAGTAGTGTGGAAATGGCTCCATCCATCACTGGGGCAAACATATGTTCCAGAGCTACAGTACAGCGCAGATTCCTGTTTCCAATTGCTGTTAAGAAGCCCTGAAGGATTAAACCACAGGTTAGGATTGCATATGGATAACAGGCAGAAAGAACTACACTCTATGCACAACTGAATGCCTTCATGGGTTTTCATAATGTACTTCAATGTCTGTGAAGCCAATGAATCAGCCACATTACAAAACAACTATGAAATAAGGTTCAATTGGTTTGCAGGGGCCTAGAAGTACCTTCTATAAAATGGGGAACACACAAAAAAAAACCTGACACAGCTTTGAAGCCTAGGGTTATTTTCTACTAAACTAGCCCTTTATGAATTCAGTCAAGGAACTATTTTTATTAATGAAGCAGAGTGGCTCAGTTGGCCATGAGGAACCTACCAGTGCCACATGGACTGTGAACTCCACACCAATCCCCACTGAAGCGATCAGGATGACGACAGGTATGGCACTCAGTTTAATTCCGATCAGCCCCATGATTCCAAACAGCTCCACCGTCATCATGGCCAATATGAATACCTGTGGGGTGGAGAGGAGGTTAACAACAAATAAAACCCTGTTCCTCAGCTCTTTTAAACTAATCTTACAAAACTTTATGTTTCACTAAAATGCATCAGTACACAAAACCCTAGCAAATGATTTCCCATCTATTTACATTAGGGTCTTTAAGGGACAAAATCAAACCTAAAGATAAGTATTTTAAAATGAGAAAGAACCCCAATACCCCCCCTCAAAAAAAGCCTGGTTTGTTTTATAACATCAAAACATGCCTTTTGGGGTTTTAAAAATCGGAAACACACACTTTAAAATATTCTGAGCCAGGATGAATCGGCTTTGATGGTTACTGTACATTAAGGAGGATCTCCCTGCTTAGCATTCACGAAGCCGCAAAAGTTTGAAATGCCAGTTACAGTTCTGTTTTTTTTTTTACGGGTTTGTGTGTCTGCTTGGAAAAGGAGGAGACTGGGATCAATCAATCAGTGATTGTAACACTAGAAGGCAGAAATGAAAGCCAAGCTTTGGACATAGTTTGCAACCCTCCCTTCAGTTCTTTATCTCTGCCTCTCAGGGCCTATTTACATGGAAATGGCTTCAGACCTGACTGAAACAGTGTCAGGACTGCACACAGAAGGGCTGTGGTGAAACCTTCAGGATGCCACTGTCATCCGCACAGCATCAAATTACGCCTCCCCCAAGTGACTCCTGTCCCCTCACCATTCTTCCCTGCTTTCAGTTTCATGAAAATGACTGACACTATCAGACAAAAGACAATATGGCCCTTCATTAGTGCCTTGAATTCTTTTTTCTCTGGCTCCACTGTTTTAGCTTTATTTTTATTTCATGTTTTCCTCTGGGTGGTACTTTTTTTCTGTCGAAACTCCAGGCCTCAACAGCTTTGAAGTCAGTAGGAGTCCCAGCTTGGTCACGGTCAAATGGGAAATTTTAAAAAGCGTTTTATTGTAACTATGTGTGAACCGGAAAAATGCTGTGAAGCACACCCAAAGTACAAGGTATTATTGTGAGGTTTGCTTTCATTAAAAAAAAAACCAAACCTGTATTTGTTTTAGCTCAGCTTAAGGCTCATGGTTTTTGCACCTGAACCTGTTTCGAGCTCTAATTTTGGTAGGTGCTTGTGCTGGGATGTATTCTGTTTTCATTTCTGTCTCCAGGCCTTTCCTAAAGTCTGGAATTCTCCAGGCTTTTCCTGGCCTCCCCTTGCCAAACACAGCCCCACCAGCCACTGTGTGAAACGTTTCCCAGCCGCTCCACTGACAGTATGTCCCCTATGTCCTGATGGATGGGTTTGGCAGGCCAAGGTCGAGGCAGGGCCAATCTGTTCTGTCCCCAATTTTGACAAAGACAGTTTGAGGTAAAGTCTCTAGGGCTTTGCGCTTCTTTGCATTTCCTTTTCTAAGCAGAGTCGCCCTTATTAGAATAACAAAGCAGGAGCTAGCGCCCTCTGGCCAACCCACAGTAGCGCTCTCCAGAGAAGGTGCTTTTCACCACTAGCAACTCTCAATATAAGCCATGTAACACACTTACAATGATGCCAGCTGTCCAGGGGTTGAGCAGGAGGATGGCACACACCAGGAAGGTGCAGGCCAACACCACGCTAATGGAGAGCAAGAACCAATGACGAAGCCCAATGTACTGCTCCCAGAAGAGAAAGGGGTAGCCATTAGGGTAGTTGAGGATTCCCTTCCTGGAGAACTCATCGCAGATGGCACGCACACTCTCGATAGCCTCAATAAAGTCGGATGTCTGCCGCAAACCATTCAGGTAGAAGGGAAACTGGGCAAACTCCAGGGGCTCAGCAACAGGAACTAAGAAGAGAAGCAATGAAATGACGTTCAGATTCAATTCTTATTCTGCTCAGCAAACACATGAGGAACTGCCGCAATGTGGCAAAAGTTAAAAGAGACAAAATCACATATACTATACTTTGACACATGACATATTCCAGACAAGGAATACGAGGAGGCATTTGGTGCATATAGAGTGATTTTACATCTAAACACATTCAAGGCAGGAAACGTAGACTGAAAATGGATGGATGGATAAACACACATAACAGATCACATTCTGTAGATGGTAGGGGTCATTGTATTTTAACTATTTGCGTTTATATTTTCATTTTATTCTATTAATGGAGTCAGAATGGGAGTGAGCTTATACTAAATGCCCCCATTTCCTAATTGACTCTAACGGTGATTACTCAAAAGAAACACTTAATACACCGTTTTCAGTTTCCTGAACTACTATTTTTTTGTCGTACGTGGCTGAAATTCCTAAACCAAGGGTGGGGGTATAAGCCCATACAGGATCGTCACTTACTGCGCAGGTTCTCGCCGGTGGTGTCGTATTTGTCATGGATCCATTCGTGAGGATGGGGATCAAAGTTAGCCTGGGAAGCCGCATAGCCCAGGGGGTCATTGCTGACCCAGACAGTCAGGTAGATATAGAAGGTGTCGGGGTTGATCAAGCCCTCCTCATCAACCAGACGCCTGGTGGTCAGCTGCATGGGTAGAAAGAGTGCATTGGTCAGAATGAGAGGAATACCCCTTCCTGACTGACAGCCGGGACGAGCTCCGTTAGCCGTGACCGAACAATACCAAAGACAGGCAAAGGCAAGGGAGGTGTACACACCTGACTGTAGTTAAATGGATCTTTCTTGGCACCGGTCTGAATGAGAAGCTTGTATGCCAGCACGCCATCCTCAGTGCCGTTGCGGTAACTATCCTGTGTGATCCTGCCTGCTGCCCAATCGGCATCAAATGCTGCCTGTAGCCCTGTAAGGGAAGAGAAGTATTAAAATATGCTTCTAAGTTCTAACTGACTTGAGTCTAGCTTATCTGTGTGTCTGATTCTGCAACAGAACTTGTAGGCTGAACCCATCCGTTTGTTATTGCATTAAATAACCAGGGGAAAACAAAAACATTCTGCCTATCCATGTTTACTCTGGTAAATGTGTGAAAGTATTACTTTGTAATCATCACGGATCTCAACGAGCAAGTCAGACCAGGCACAGATTTCCGACTGCAAAGTTTAGTTATGAGCTTGTCCCTCTTTCAGACACAGTGTGACTCCTGTTGTGTACGTGTGGGCTTAAGAATGAGACCAGCACCCTTTTTTTTCCCTTCCCTAAATTACAAAGTCTTAAGAAGAAAATGATTTCCACACAGATTCTGTAATTATAGGGATACCCCCCCCCCCCAAAAAAAAAGAGAAGGACTCTTTAAAGTCATGCCAGTTGATTAACAATTTTCCCTTTCCCTCTCCTTCTCATTCACTCTTGTTCCCTCCCCTTAATTCACCTTGTTATTAATTCTTAAATCCACAAGGGAACATGTCCTGTCCTACCCCACCCCCTTTGGCTTCTCCCTCCTGTAATCTGAGGAAGTGGCTTTGAGATCTCAGAGACATATTCAAATCCACCTCTCTCAACCTCCACCAGTCCCTGGGGCTTCGCTCCAGTTGTGAACTTTCACCACCAACCTCCAGCCCTCCTTCCTTCAGGTAAACATTCACACTAGCTCAACAGGCTGACAAGGCACGGTTTGTGGAAACAAAAAGCACAACCGGCAACATATCTATTTAAATTAATTCCCCTTAAGGTTTTTCCACCATTTTTTCCATAAATTTTAAATCAATCCAATGCAATTAATTGAATTCATTGTAAATCAATGCCCATTTTCACAGTAAGTCAGGATGTATGGGTCACAAAAAATCTTAGGCTCTTACGTCAATGAAAAAAACTGTTTTCCAGCCTAATTGATAACAATTTTAAAAAGACATTTTCAGTGCTTCAAGCGCTGCGCTAAAAAATCATTTTCAAGCTTCATGTATTTTTTAACATCACACAGTTTTTACTCCTATCCACCAAAGTGTACTCAATCAGCTTCTTTTAGTTTCAATGAAACAGATGATTGCAGATATTATATAGCATAGCAAGGGCTGCAAGGGAGAAACAGAAATCTCTATGCTGGTAATGTAAGGAGTCTTACCACGTAGCCAGTCCTGGAAATAGTGTAGCCACATTCTCGGCAGCTGCTGGTTGCTGTCTCGCACCACGTACTTCACGGAGCTGAAGCTTTTGTGGAGCTGCAGGAGCTGCCTCTGGGAGCGAGCATAGTCAAATCCCCCCATAGTCACCAGGTACATATTGTAGAAGGAGAAATATTTGAACTGGGCTGAGATGAAGTCGTACTCCTTGGTGTCACGAGGCACGATGTCCGTCAGGTAGAGTCCATCATGGACCATAGTGGTACCGTAGAGGCTCAAGCCGAGCAGCGACATGAACAGAACCACCACCACTACCTTCGTTTCAGTCTTGAGCAGAAGTGGGGCGTATTTGTCTCGTGCAAAGTCCGACAGGTTCCACCGAAAGAACGGCAGGGGCACGCACTCGCGGCCTTCTTTGGACTCGTCCACTTGGGCCAGCAGGTCCCTGGTGGAGCTGGAAGGGGTGAAGAGCTGGGAGCCATAGGGGTCCGGATTTGCGGGTACCACCACTGCGGGCGGGCTGGTGGAGATCTGTGAGGTGGGGGGAAGGATGGTGACGATGTGCTGGCCGGAGGCGTCACACTGTGTGAAGGCCTGCACCGTGGTGGTAATCTGAGTGCTGGTGGTGATGGTGGGGCCAGCGTAAGAGGAGGGAGGGTAGGCATGGTTATCGTTGGCGTCGGAAAACTCCTGCGGCTGTATCTGGATCACCCGGCTGGAACATGGGCTGTTGGGGACAGAGCAGGTGTCACCAATTGCAAACAAAACTATTCCTTCCAAAACACATCCTTCATATCATAAAGTATGTGATTGCGCATGTGAATACTGACCAAATTATTCTGCACATCAGTGCTCTTTTGATCGTTTAACGACTGTATTATCTTAAATACAAGCATGCTCAATTTTTTGTAACAGTTCATACCTGTAGAAACAGCAGAGAATGTCAAGCCTCTTATCCTCTCGACGGTGAAGATCCAGACTCAGAATGGCAGGAAAGACGAGGAGAACCATGGCGAAGTTGAAAACTACAACTATGGCTGCCTGTAGGGAACACAAACAGGAAGGGGTTTTAGGTGAGGGGGTTGAAACATCCAAACCCTTTCAAGTTGCCGCTGAATGCGGCACTCGGGCTGCGCTCCACAGAAAAAGCAAATGCCCTGGCAAGTGAAATCCACATCCTCGCAAATCCTAAGCGTTTCATGTGCAGCGCATTCAGGCCAGAAACGGATCCTAAATCACTTGCAACCCCCCCCCACAGTCAACAGAAACAATCATGAGAAAGGGGAGTCCCAGGGTCGCAGTGGGCCTGTGCAAGTCTGACACAGAACGGCTCCTCCCCACCCCCCAACCCTACTGCCAGCCCCTCAGGCTGACATTATATTCTGCATTATCAGACTCCAGACCACCCAAGGACAGGCGGGGAGATCACAGGGCCCACTCTGACGGCCCAGTGGCCCGGTGATATATTGGTATATTCTCTCATTTGATTATTTCTTCCCCTCCCACCTGAGTTGCGAGCTGTGGGAGCTTTTCCTACCGGTTTACGTCTGAGGATGAAACAGCGTCTCCCCCGGTAATAAAATGTGAAAGCCGGGGTTGGAATGAAGACAGTTTATCAAAGCCTTTCTCTCCTTTGTGCAAGCTGCACCCAACTGGCCAGAGAGTCGCGCACAAAAAGAAACCTTGGAATCAACCATTCCTTGATTTAGAGCCATATGTGCTTGTGCAGAATAAAGCCGCAGACGAATACCTGTAAAGAGAATGCACGCAGGGCAGGAATGGGAACCAGAGCAGCCATGAAGAAGGCAATCATGTTGTTGATTGAGGTGAGAGCCACACTCGTTCCAGTCCGTCTCAGGCATTCTCCTGTTCTCTCCTAGAGAAATAACCAGACACGTTTTACCAAAAGGAGACTCCAGGTTACGAGGCACTCCGGATAGTAATCCACGCGATGTAAGAATAGAACCGAGTACTTAAATTAAGGCAGACAGCATGGCGGATAGGTTTAAAGATGCTTACCTTGAAAGGGATGTTGGAGCTCGTCTCTGTAAAAGAATGGGCCAGCAGAAACATGTCGTCCACTCCAATTCCCAAAGCAAGGAAGGGAAGAACCTAGCGGAGAGGAAAGTTAATTAGATGAAAGTGTTTCAGCCAATGCTACGCAGTGAGAATTGTCTGACAGACTAGTCAAGAGGGGAGGGCTCCAGGCATACCTGTGTGGTAGCTGCATTGAAGGAAATACCCAGCAGGGAACAAAGACCCAGGCCAGCAGCTACAGACAACGCCACCAGCAGGACTCCCGCTAGCCCGACAGCTCCCTGAGACTTTGCACAGTCCCAACGCAGCATAGTCACACAGGCGTAAGCCAGCTGCAACACAGGAAAGAGGCGAATTACCATCTTTGTGGTCTCATTAGGGCCCTCAGCTGCTTCCAACCTACAGAAAAAAGCTGGAAACTGACAGCATGCCTTCTACTCACCATGAGCAGGTACCCTCCTGCCACACGGATGACGCTGACATCAGAGAAGGACTTCATGATGTCATTCAGGGTGGTGGTAGAGAAGGCGTGGATGCTGTGGGATGAGTTCTGAGGAATGCTTTGATGAACCACCTGCAGGAGCAAGACGGAGGCGGATGTCAGAGGTAAGACCAACAGGTTCTGCTTTCGGTAAAGAACCGCTCTTATTTTACTCTCTCGTCAAAAGATTTTGTATCTTTGAAAATGTGGTAGGATGTGGTGCCTCTTACTATTGCCGAGAAAACCTGACTCAAGCCATGTGGTGAAGGCAAAATGGTGACATAAACAATGCCACATAGCCTGACAAAATATAATAAACGGCTCCTATAATTATGGGAATCATCTTTAATGGGAGATACATTTTTCAGGGATTATTTTATTGGGTTAGACATATTATAATGGGAAGTCCCATCATGTCGCTTGTATCATGTTTTGGCATCAACAACTGAAATATGAAGAATAATTTCATGTTTGATGTAGTGCTTAATGGACTATTACTATAAAGAATCGATTATGGTACGAAAATACCATTACTAGACTGACATATGGACCATCGCTATGCAGTAAAGCTCTTCACGTAAAGCTCTTCTCTTCAAACAGCAAGAAACAAGGTAGTTTGGACTCATGCAAAGCCTGACAACTAGAAATAATGACCACAGAAGCCAAAGGTCAAGGGGGTTGAGGGTCAAATTAGATCACATGGTCTCCCAAGCCACTCTATCACCACCCTGAATGGCCTACAGCCTTGGGGGAATGGAACGCCCTCCACTTTGTTTTTCCAGCAACGCTGTTCGCCCCATCTAGCACCTTCCCCTTCTCCTTCCTGAACAGGCTTTGCTCGAGGCAGTGCGGGGTCTCCCCCTCGACTTAGCCTCAGTCAGCGCGGGGTGTCAGTTATCACAAAAACAGCTTGTTCCTATAACTGGGAGTCTGTCAGCAGCCTCCTCGGCAGACTCCGTTTACGAGGCAGCTGAGGATTGATGGAATTCAGGCAGACGCACTGTTCCAAATCCTCCAGAAAAAGCTGGGACACCGTGCTTGTATCAGGTAAGTGACAACTCAAGCTCTGGCAAATCACTCGTACAGCAGCACCTCTCCTCTAGCAAAAGACACTAAATGGAAATGAACACACAGCGAGGACAAATGCATTACCTCAACAAACTTCCTCTGCCAGGATTCGAGGATAGCAGCGGCCTTCTCCTCATTCCAGTTGATGTCATGAATCTCATAGTCATCCTTAAAGTGCTCATAGAGTTGCTTGGGACTCATAAGGAGATACATTGTCTGGAGGGCTTCAGCGCTGTCGGGAAACCACAGTAATTATGAACACAGGCCACACAGACAATACAGAAGTTCCATATTGAAATTGACATTATATGAAAATGTAATTTTCTTAAGCTGTTTATAAAGGTCATTATTAGGAAAACGGATCAGCAGAACAGATCAGCAGAAACTGAAAAGCAACACTGCAATCTGAAAGAAGGCACAAATCATTCCCAGTAACATACTGTATTTGTATCTTATCTTGTAATTCAGCGTTTCTGATTGTACATGCATGCGTGTGTGTGTGTGTGTATGTGTACAAGCACTTGTGGGTCTGTGGCTTAAAACAGGTGTTCTGATTTCAATATGTATAAACAGATGGCCCAGTCTAAGCTTGGCACAGACTGGGTAGCTTATGGTTAGAAAAAATGAAGTGAATGAGATTATAATAAATCATATCTCAAAGTAATGTTTGTGGGTTTTCATGGCCCGTTGTAAAGGATTGTATCACTTCCACTGAGATTTGCCAGGGTCAAGATCTGGGCAAAATCCCAACTTTGTCACTCTATTCCTTTTCACAGTGGTTTTAAATTAAAACAAGAATTTAAAATGCTTAGGAAAGCCCAGAGCTCAGGTTACAGGGCTCTAAAAATTTATTTTAAATTGGGTACTTAGAATCCCTTTTAAGAATAAGACATTTTGGCATTTATTTTACATTTATAACTAAAAAAAACAAGTTCAAAGTGTAATTAAGGTATATAATCCTTTTTTAGGTCACTGAAAGACACACTCCTTCGGATACTCCCAAACAAATAAGGCCAAGGTTTATATGGCTGTCCATCGTGTTTAATTGGTCACTCCTATGTGGGGGTCAGAGGTGGAAACTGATCTTCCTTCATGCAAGGAATTCTTCAGATGTGTGAGGTTATTAGGAGTCAGAATTCCCTCTCTCCCTGGCCTCCACGAGGATTTTCCTGTGACAGACACCAACTCTCTGCTTTTCTCACCTCAATAATGCATTCTGGGAGTCCTTAGTCCTACCGCCCAAGATCAGCTCCTCCTGCCAATGCATGAATTTCTTAGAGAACCCGTGACAGCCACCGCGCAACTCCTTGGCAATGTCAGGAACCTGAGGAAAATTAACCAGGTAAAGAATACAGCATGAACAACGAGGTCCACTTAAAGTTATCAAAGTTACAATACACCAGAATGCACTGTTTACAGCCCAAGTAAAGTAGAAAAGGGACCAAACGGTGTTACACACCTCACGCAATCCCTTGTTGGGGGCGCTTTGTGGGCAGTCAGGATCATCGGGCTCCAAGCAGGGACGATTCATATAGGCATGTCCCACCTGTGCCTTCTCCAGCATTTCGCGGAACCCCTCGAGCGAAGTGAACTGGCTCAGCTCTTCCATTAGCTTGACTGGGTCCAAGTTCATCCACTGGATGTCTGGCATTCCCCTGTTGAAGCAATATGCACATGAGTCATATGGTGATAACACAGGATCTCTGCTGGCTGAAGACACTGCCGGCTGGAGATCTGCCATAAGGATATTAGATACAGAAGCAAAGTCACTGCTGGCCACAAAACTATCACAACTGTACTACTTATCCTTGAACTCTCCAATACCCGCTTGTTAACCATTAGTCTGTACACATGTTAATGTCCCTAGAATAATAGCATAGAAGCAGGCAGAGTAAATCCAGGATACGCTATCAGGCCAGGTGGTTTATGTGTCATTTTCAGTTTTCCAATTTCTCGTTATTCCTGAATCGCAAAATAACAAGCTTGAAAAACGGAATTGATTTTAATTGAATGTCAGGCTATCTGTGCAATCCCTCCCCTCGGGCTGCAGGGAGTACTTTTGGTCGCTCTCACTCAATCTTCATTGCCAGTGCCAGATGCAATGTAAAGTACCGTATATTATCCTGTTACACGGGGCAACAATGCAGGGAAAACCCAATCTGCAAGCTGCTCGCTCCTATTTCTTAACTTTGTGCATCGAGTCATAACAATTACCACTGGCTCTCAAACATCTTGATATCACTCTGGTGAGGGCTGAGGATCTGAATAGTGGGTAGAACACAAGGGGACAAGAAGAGTCTCTCTTGCGCTCAGTGACAGTGACATATATATATAACCTTTGTCAAAAATACAAAACCTCAGGAAATAATTAGTGATTTGAATTTTAAGCTTTGGAAACTGAAAGGATTAGCATATGTGACTATCAGAACACTGGTTCTCAACAGGTAGTTGAATTGCTAGGAAATGTACTGGCTCCGTTGGAAAGGACTCTGAAGTTCTGGATTCAGAAAGGTCATATTTTGACTGGTGTGTTGTTCCTAGGGGTTCCAGTGAAAATTATCTGACCCTTGTTCTCAGAACAAGGCTCTTGTTCTTGTGCTTGACTGTACTGAACCTGTACTGCTTTCCATCCTTTTCAACACTCTCACTTTTTCTGAACTGATTGTTGCTTTGATGGGCTCCTCTCTTCCTCTCCTCTCTTCCTCCCCCCTCACCTCCCTCCCCATGAGCTACAGCTCTCTTCTGAGGGGACGTTAAACCATTAATCTCTTCATCTGTAAAATATCCTTTTGTCGGTTTTTCTCTCACACTTACAATGAGTGTATTTTTTGGGGGGCTTCCCCCTTCCCCCTTTCTGTTCCCTCCTCACACCCATCTGAGAATTGCAATTTTAAAGAACGGTGAAGAAGGAAACAGGACAAAACTGACAATTTTGCAGCATGGCATGGGTACCCCACAATATCTGTGAACATGGATGAGAAACGCGGAGTCTAGTTTCGGAAGAGACGATTTGCTTCTTGCTTTTTTTTTTCTTTCAAGAGTATTTGCTTGTGGTGCAAGAAGTGCAATAACCCACCTACTAACTGTGTGACCCCTTTGGCAGAGCAGTTGTCTGACCTCCCTATGCCCCCAGTCCTACTATAAAAGTGGGAAGTGGCAGGGGATTGAATGAGATGCTTTACCTTGACTGGGCCTGTTCGAAAGAAAGGTCCCTTTTTTAAACAAACTTTCAAAAATGAACAACTTCTACACCCGCTTTTAAAAAGATCTGCAGCACTCTCACCTGAGCCACAATAAAAACTTGTCGCAATGTCAAATACTGTAAAAATACAGACCAGAACATTTTTGAATTGTTAATGCCATTACAACGTTGCACGCCTACTGAAAAACAAAGCTGACGCTTTGCATTGTAGTGCATCAATTTTAAAAGATTCCGAATTTTACATATTCTGCTTATGAGCAAGGTGGTGAAATGTCTTGCATAGATGTGTCCACGAAGGTGACACACGCACACTTTCATACACCTGCTTCTCTTATTTTTCCAGATGTAAGTGAAACATAAAGTCATTTGTGCAGGGGTGCCCCCAAAAAAGAGATAGGAAGAAAAATAGGGACACATTCAAAAAGCAGCCAAACTCTGGGCTGAATCTCACTCCAATAATTCATGAAGAGTGGCTTGGAATAAAGCTGGGTCTCTGAGATTCCCACATACCAAGCGGCCCTGCTCTTGCCTGCAAAGAGAGGCTCCTTTATCTGCTATTTTTTGCTTGAGTGAGCTAGCCCAGGCCCTTTTGTTTTTCCATAGATTGCTGCTCTTTGTTCTCCAAAGTTTTTCTCTCTCTCTTCTTTCTCCCTCTCTCTCTCTTTTTCCCCGTTTAAAAAAAAAAAAACTCAGCTGAACTGAAGCGGAAGCTGGAGAGGACATTAGCTACAGCAACCCCCCCCCAACACACACACACACTTTTGATCCGAACTTGAAAGTAAAGGCCTAAGGAAAATTAAATACTTTTTTTTTTTAATGGGTGCTCTTCAGCAGTTTTGGTGTATTAGCCGATTAAGAAAAAAAACTGCATGCAATATTTTTGGTCATCCCTTTTGAACCCAGATAGGGCCTTGCACTGTTAAAATCACCCCTTTGGATAAGGTCACCCCCTCTCTCTTCATGTCCCAGGTTAATCCCCATTCACTCCAGCCACAAGTGGCCACTACTTGGTTCAGTCGCTAGTTAATCTAAAGCAATGGCAACCACACATTATTTGAATTCACTTCAGAAATCGTCCTATGATTTGTTTCATTTAGCTCTTGCTAAGCACTGTTGATGGAGACAATTTTAATATCGTTTCTGGGACAAATGATATAATGGCGTGCATATATTTGTGCATATATTCAAATTTGCTGAAACAGTTAAAATGTTACTTTTTAATTGAAGGCATTGTATAGAAACGGGTATATGCCAATTTACCTAAAACTGTAGCAATCATGTATACACATGTATTTGTACATACATTACCGACAGTTAGGCACACTGCGTTTAAATAAACTTCAATTTAGGAGAAAAATACAACGAAAGGTTGCTGAGCCCGTCCCTGTTCTTAAGTTTTTTTGGGCATTCTATAGGCCCGTGGCTTGAATAATGCCTGTTTTATTTGTTGGGCAACTTACAGCTTTGAGCAACGGTGATTAACATGAGAATGAGCGGTGTTACTGGTTGCTGACAAAGCAGGGCTCCCTCCTGGGCCCCCTCACTGATGGACACACACTCGTAAACTGAAAGAATGCTTACCATTGTCTGACCCAAACTCCCCCCACACACCCACAGACCATCCCCTCCCTCTCCCTGTCCACTCTCTGCCGATCGGCACAGGCTTTCCCTGGCTGGAGCAGGAGCTGCAGGTCCCTCTGCCAGGACTGAGGCACACGGACAGTTGCGTCAAAGGCCATCTCTGTCGATAGCCAGATTTTTTGCTGTCCTCAAATTACTTAGAAATTCCAATTTCTTTCATCGACTTGTTCAAATTTTAAAAGCTGAAACAGCTTTAAAAGGCCGTTAGGTCCATGTATTTTTAATATCCCATCAGATATACATATCGTTTTCATCCTTTTTAAACAGCGGTCAGGTCTACCCAGTGTATGCCAGACTCTGCTGTGGCTGTTTGCCCTCACTTTTACAGTGAGAATGGACCTGTGGCAACAGGAGGTCAAGAGATCTCTGCCCCCAGTTAAGGTTGTTGTCCTGTCAGCACAGCCATAGGTGTGAGCAAGATAAACCAGGGATCCGAACAGCTGGAAAAACTAAGATGACAAAAAGGCAGATATCGTGACTGCCAGAAAGTAGTGGTTGATTCCAGAAAGGAACAGCAGAATACAAGGAGGCCGTATGGCTCTTGGTTCCCATTTGTTTCTATTTCTCCATAATCCCACAGCTTGTACTGGTTTGAGTGGGAGCACGCAGTGAATACCTCTTCAAACACAATGAGAACATGTAAACCTAACAGTCAGCAGAAACTGGAATTGAACCCAACTGGATCCTGGAGCTGTGAGGCAGTAGTACTAACCACTTTGCCTCCTGGTGGAGGAAGGGAACTCTGTAAATAGCAACAGCAACTCTCTCACATGAGGGGCTAAAAAACCCAGTGAAGGATTACGTGGTATCTCTCCTGCTTGATAAGCACCCAGCATGGCAATGTCTAAGAGTGTGTGTGGGAACATTGTCTGCAGGAAAGATGCAGGCATCGCTTGTACTGCAGCAGTCCAGTGCTGACGTGCTGGGACAAGCCTGGCATCTGAACATTTGCAAAAAGGGACAAAGATTTCAGCCATGATCATGCCAAAACCATTGCAGCATTCGGCACCTCAAAAAACATTGTTGTACAGTTTTATTTTGAAACAGGTGAGAAACTTACGGCAAGTAGGCAGAGCCCCCTTGGAGTTTAGCACCTTCCCAGAAGCAGTCCAGTGGAGTCACAATCATGCAGGGGAACAGCTTATCAATCATCTGGAAAGCAAAGAACAATTCGATAACCTGTTATGGACCTCCCGTGTTTATGTTAACTTAACAAAAGACAAATCACGCTGAAAGCCTATTTTGGTAACGACGTCCCATGCAGTGCAAGGTTTTAATTTGCATTTAGGTGCTACATTGGGGGTTAAAACAAGGAAACGGAAACAAATTAAAGACGTAGCAGTGAAACAATCGTGATAACGATGACAGGCCTCCGCAGACGAGGCTGAAATTGTAATAGTTTTCAAACATAATTACCCGCTTCGTGTTACATCCTTTTCACATCGTTTTCCTCATAAAGAAAGCCACACTCCTCAAAACCAAAGACAAATGAACAAACCGCTTGCTTACTTACCCTTTCAATCATGACGTTCTCGATGATTGGAACACCAGATTTGTAGCAGATTTTGTTTAGATCCCAAGACCTAAATAAATAAAAACAAAGATGAGAGTGAGGCTGAGACGTTCCAAGCAACGTAGTCGTTTTTAAATATAAAGTTGCACGCGCTCAGAAGGAAACTTACTTTCCATACAAGGACACTTGCAACTTGCTAGCTGCCAGTGCTGCCTCCAAATGCTGCAACAAAGCCTCCTGTGTAAGAACATTGGTGCCTTCATGTTTCGAAGTCTGGATGAGCATCTGGGAGGTGAAAACTGCCTCCTCTCCCTGCTTCTCCTTCGTGTACCTCAGCTCTCGACTCACGCGGCTGCCAGCTGTTGGGACAGTATGCACAACTGTGACAAAGTGGTGGCAAAGACAGAAGACCGCACATTGTCTTACTGCTGAGTTCATACTCAAAATTGTTAATTCATTTCGTATTGCAGGTTCCCCCAGCTGGGTGAAAATGTCTCCCTTTCTTGACAAGAGGAGATAACTCATCAAACCTTCTAGCCTTTCCACCTGATGGTTTCACATAATCACGACCAGAGATTGCATCACACTTAATGGTTCCAGAAAGCAAACCATAAAAAAGAGCTATAGGTGGCTTGTGTGCAGATGTTGTTTGAGCTTCTAACTGGGCTTTAAGGATTTACAGGATTACAGCCAGGGTAATAAATATGTGTAAGAATGACTTATATAGAGTTTCTATGTGGTAATTTCTAATTTTCACCCAACACCTCCCTTTCTCATTGATTTTCTACTTCCTACATAGCTCTGCAGCTCTAACCACAGTGTCTGGCTGAGCTCCAGGGAACAGCAGACCCACAGCAGCGCCAGAGAGAGAGAGACACGCTGCAAGCAGGCAATCTCACTGCCGTATTATTACAAGATATATATTCCTCCACTGTTTGGGTTGTCGTGCCTTGGGAAGAGCTCGGAGGAGTGCATTCTGCCGCATGTCTGAAACAATGCCGACCACATACATGCCTGTTAAAGCTCTGTCAAATACATTTGAAGACAGATGCAGAAAAAATAGGGCAGTCATTTGAGCACGCACACTCATTTATGCTTCTTTGCCAACTTGAGCTGAAGGAACGTCAGACACAAAAATCTGGCCAAGGCAATGAGTCAAAGCTACTCATTGGGTTACTTCTGCAAAACAAACCAAGCCAAATGAATCTTGCCTAAATCCCATCACAAAAGTGTAGCAGTAGTAACTGAAAGATCTTGCCAGGAGTGGAAAACTCCATTTTCACCTGCCTTGTTTTCTCTTTTCATTCAGGTAGCAATTAGAAGTGAATGTCTGAGGTGAATCCAGTAAAGACACCAGCCTGTAGGAACTCTCTCGCGCTCTTGCACAAAGATGCCATAAGAGTAAAATTCCAGTCTCTCCATGAGGATGACAGCTTTTTGTATCTCAAAAGGTCAGCTCCTGTCATAAATGACAACATCAAAAACCCCTGGGGAAGTAAGGCATTTAATGAGAACTTTTCATAAAACAACCAGAATAAACGTCGTTCATGTGGCATTTAGAATTTTATATAAAAGCATCAAAGCACTGAGAGGAAACTTCATAGGCCAACCCCCTAATTAAGAGGGACCAGCATGAGAAGACAAGGCAGGGTATCTGCTGTTCCGCCAAGGGCACATGAAACACACCGCACTGCACTACAGAAAGCCGCTCTGCCCTTGGATCTGTTAACACACCATCCTACGTTAGAACAGCAACCAGGAGAGGCCAGCCTCGCTGTCTCTCCTCCCCCTTTCCTTCCCTCCTTCCCCCTTTCGTTTTAATCGATAACGCAATTTATTCCTTCAGAGCTGGAATTTACACTGCTGCCAAAGAGAAATGGCTGTGCTTGTTCTTAAGTCAAAGCGCACCAGACTAGACCCAAACAAATCGTTCCGCGCTGTGTTTTACACCACCCTACTCCTCTTGTCACTATTGTTTTTATTGAACTTGACTTTCTTACAACACCGAGAGGAAGGAGCGTTTTGATTGCTGTAGCTGCTAGACGTCTCGAAATGAGCTCCCCCTGTCTCGTTTAATTTCGCCTTTTCTCCAGTTTAAACATGTCACATCCACAGCCATGCTTTGCAATAATTAGTATCTATTCAAAATTCAAGCATGTTGTGACTGAAATCCAGAATCAGATAAAAAAAGACATATGCAAGAAGACAATGCCATTTTAGACACTTTCTCAAAGTTAGGGCAGACTCAAAGTATAGCTTATGGATCTTAAGCAGGATTTTAGACCTCTGCCTTACCTTTTATCATATAAGGTCTAATGATGGTTTAGTACAAAGAGGCATTAAAAATGCAACAAATGCTATTCATCTCAATGCTCATTGGTTGCATTTTAAAGGTTATTTGTATATTTAGTACACTACTGAATAGGGAGCTTCTCAGCAATTTAATAACACTTCCAAATCTTTCTCAAGTCTGTGTGTATCAATCTCAACATTCATATACTGTATGGAGAATGTATACTATCTATAAAGAAACACATTTCTTTCATTTTGAATTTTGTGCTCATTTTTAATGCATTGGGGCATCTGCAGGAACTGAGCTTCAATCTCTCTCTCTGTAATTACAGGGCTCCTGAAGTAAATTATAGCTATTTGTGTCTCGTTCCGCCCATCTGGACCACCCAGACAGGGACTAAGGCCCCGCCACTCAGTGACTGCTCAGCTACTCACCAGATGGGAACTCTGGTGCCTGTTCTCTCTGTGGCTGCAGGCCCTCGCATTTAAAGAAACAGACACCAAAATATTTTAAATGTATGGGGGTAAAAGACGCTCTGTGTTCCCTCTTCAGGGGTTACATTGTATTAACTTGTTGTTAATATACAAAACAATAGCTGAGCAACGATAAGTGAAGTCCTAAGCAACACCTTAAATTGAAAAAATTGAGACCTTGTTGCTTTCCTGTTGAATTTCTGTGAGATGTCTCTTTTAACAACACCCTACAGTCTGGTTAGCCGCCTTGTAGTTTATGGATTCCACAGTACTCATATTTATATACTGTAGCTGTGAGGGAATAGGCATTTACTGTACATATATTCCAATATTTTTCATTCTAGTTATTGTCCGTGCCAGAAAAACAAAGGAAACAAAATCCAGGATCTTGTCAGACAATTTTATACATACACATCCGTGCACACTACGGACAGTAGAAACAACACAATGGTTTCAGATACAATGGCAACAGGATTTAGGAGGTGGGGGGGAATCCCACCCAGGGTAAAGCACACGGATCAGGCCCACGCAGAGGGCCCACAAGCTGTATGAATTGTGACATGTAATTAACTGCTGAGGTGCAGCCCCCTGTGCCTTGGTGTCAGCCCCACGGCTGGGCCCTGTCAGGCCCAATCTCACTCAACTCCATCCTAACCGTGCCTTCACCCTGCACGCAGGATCGGAAACGCTCACCCCTTGCGGGAAGATGCAGAACATTATTATGTTGGATTTGGGGTATCAGTATGGCACACACCAGTGTCTTTTCTCTTTTACGGACAGGATGTGGAGCGAAGGTGATTAGGCTGGTTTCCCTATGTGTCATGTTTCATTTATCACCGGTTCGGAAATGGTACTTATTTGTTTCTGTTGGGAGGTCATTTATCTTCTCAGGATGGCAACAATACCACGAACACTACCCAGCCACGCCATACATGACCAAGAACTGGCTCTTTCCATTTTCTGCTATTTTGCCATTGATTTCTTAAACACAGCACAAGTGCTCAGCTTTTGTTTAGAAGACTTCAACCTTCTCAGACTGAAACAAAGTTTTTTTTGGGGGGTAAAACCTGGCGTTTTATAGCAACTGCTTCATCTTTTGAAGGTCACGGTGAGCTAGAGGCTAACTGGAAACATGGTGGGACTACAACCTGACTGGGACGCCAGTCCGTTATAGAACATGCTCCTAAATTACACAGACTTCCTGCTGAAAATATGCCACAGTTGTATTACCGAATGACTGAGTTTTGTTTTCAAGTGGTATCAAAAAGCACAGACTTTATCGTCACAAATCCACAAATAGCCTCCGTTAAAATATTTTGTTTTCCTGAAGGTGTGCAAAGCCTTTAATTAATTGAAATACCACATTTCAAGGCAATGTGAGAACATTTGTTATTAGTGACAATTGTTGTTTTTTTTCAGGTCCTTTTCCTCCCTGCCGTTGCTAATCCATTTGATCCAATGGTCCATTTCAGGTCACTTCTGAAAAGCAGACTAATCAGTCCCAGAAATGGAACATGGTATTCTAAGTATCAAAGTGGCCCATCTTAATATTTGCTGCTTTCCTTCCCTTGCATTCTGGTTTAAAGCACAATGGAAACCATCAGATCCCCCTCCCAGTCTAGTATGGATAAATCCACAAAAACTGTAATGACTGACATCTAAATATTTGCTAAGGGCACCCCCATATTAAATTAGCCAATCCCTGTTAATGTTTAGGGACACGAATGTTAAGTTATATATAGGTTTAGTTAATAAGCTACACACAATATCTCTTCCAATGTTCTACATCTCTAGGCTCTGTGGTGCAATTGACATGGCATGGGCCACCTTCAAAGTACCGTGGACCAGATTAGTTGGATTAGGAAACCACTCAAAGGACCCATGCTGCTTTGGAGGAAGTCTCACTGGGGAGAGTGTTGAAAGAGCCATTTTTACCTGTTCCAGCCACCCCAGTAAAACACAGGGAGGGTTACAGAGCAAATATTTCCATATCGCTTTTCAGCTTGGCCCTGTCAAAACACATCTTGTCCTTTTTTCCCCCTTTGTTACTCCTTACAGAGCTGTGACCGTACTGTTAAGACTGTCTAGAATCTGGCCCTTTTACAGGAAAACAAGTCTTTTAAAAATAAATCTTTTTGCTCCCCTCTCATTCTCAATACCCCCCACCCCACCTCCCTGTTTTGCTAGAATCCAGTAGCAGATGGGTGCTGCACCTCAGCTCCTAAAAGAAAGAACTCGGGCTCCAAAGAATGAATGCAGGCCTTTGTCATTCCTTCTGAATGTCTTTCAGATGTTTCCCAACAAACAGGAAAAAATAAAGCAAACTTTCACAACAAAAGCAAAGAACCAAGGCTTCTCTACCAAATAAAACTATGCAAAGGGGAGGGGGGTGGTTTCATACCTTAGCTATAGAAATACAGCGTGTGTGTGAGTCTGAGAGAGGGACGGAGAAAGAGAGAGATAGAGAGAGGGGAAGAAAAAGACTCAATTACTGAGGGGGATGCTGTTGAGGCCTGCTTCATGCTTGGGGCCTAAACAGGCCTCTGGTGTATGTAGGAAAGGCCTACCATTCAGGGACGAAAGAAAATTACCA